CATTAATATTGGTAAGATGTCGGCAGTCGCAAACCATGTCTACCAGCCGAATGCCCTACGAGCAGTGTCAGCACAAGCATGTGAAGGGCACTTGAATGGCACTCACTCCTCATGTAGCTCGACGCCGCCCACCTCCTTCCTTCTTTTGGGATCTACCTTACCTACTACTCTGGCAACTGACTGGCCGAGACCCACAGGACCGCAAACGCCTACCAGCACGCCGGTCCTCGTCGTATTCCCCTCAGCCTGCGCCTGAATTGTTTCATTAACGACGTGGTCGAGGATGTCTACGAAGTTTGGTCGACCGGGGACAAGCGACAATCCATCTGGCAACTCCCCGCTGGACGGCGGTTCCGGTATGTTTGCGCGTATACCAGTGTAGTGCACTGATACGTGGAATGACTTGAGCGTGCTGCAATTCAGGAGCGTAGTGAAGTGTGATATGAAGGGCTTCAGGCATGCTGCAAGAGACACTTGGTAAGTTCCTTGTAGCTTGTGAGTCTGCGACAGGAGATCTCACCTGAGTCCGCGACCACCCAGACGAGATGCAGAACTTGTATTCTACTGCTTCCTTCAGCGCCTCGTCGAAGCAGGTCGTCGACCACTGAAAGCGGGAATGTGATCCCGCTTCCACCACCCACTAACAGAGCTCCGGCAAAACTTGCTGGAACGCAGTGCCCAGTGCCTCCTGTTTTGTCATTTTAGTGCCTTTCCGTGGCTCACGCAATTCTGACATACCATACGGTCCCTCCAGCATAACCCTCACCAGCCTTCCTCCCTTGAACCCCTCCATCTCACCCGTACTCCCGTCAGCAATCCTATACAAATTTCTACTCCACCTTCCCGATTTCTTCGCAAACACTACGAGACCCTCCGGACCATGACTCGCAGAAGCAATTGTATACGGATGCATCTCCGTCCAGCCGAACCAGCCCATCTGCCTTGAGAGGACCCGAATCCTGACATGCTGCCCCGCGCGCCAGCCCGCGTTGATGTGCGGAATCTCGAGCTTGGTGAGGCCGAGCAGGCCTGCGGCTATTGCGACGTACGGGGTCGTATCTTTTTGATGGAGCGGGACCTATTGGCGAGCTTCAGCAAGGTTAGGTGAGTGTGGAGTGGAAACCTTGCTCACCGCCACTAGGAAGACTATGAACGCGATAACGTGGGAGACGTAGAATATGTTGTAGGCTCTGAGCCGCCAGATGGAAGTCGAGAAGAAGAATAAGATGTCCAGGCATACTAGAGCTACGATGCCCCAGAGGATGTAGGCCATCTCTGCTTGCTTCGTCCATATTCCAGCGTAGACCCATTTATAGACTGCATTCCTTCGGTGAGTGGCTGCTCTCGCCGTATAAGTGTTTCTGCACACACCGTAACCAATGGCATGCACGTTAGCTGCTAGGACAAGCAGGGTCCCGGTCCATTGGTGCAAGAAATTCAGCTATCGAGTTCTCGTAAGATAGCTACTCTCCTCCAATGCCACACGGACTCACCTTTTCGTAACTCTTCCCAACCACTAGTCCTATCGCATTATTCTTGGTCGCCAGGGCATAAACCAGGGGAATCTGCGACATCGCGACGAAGCCCGCCCGAATGGGGTGTTTGAACGCACTGGCCCGGTACAGCTCCGCGTACAAAAGCAGAGTGAAGTACCCAACCATCAAGAGTACCTGGCCGAGCGATAGTCTTGGTGCGATTGGGTATCGCAGTATAATTGACAAGCCATGCGCGTAGGTTGTCCATTCTGGTACGTGGGCCGGAGGCGAGGCTGCTCCTTGCACCTGCTTCTCCTGGACAGGAGCGACCCGTGTGGCCTCCGAGTCATAGGACGGCCGAGGGAGGGCGTTCTCTTGCCAAGAGGAACGGAAGACGAAGCCATCCCGGAAGCCTTGAAGCCGTCCGATAATCCGCGGTAGGGCGAGCAGGGCAAAGAGACCGATGGCGGCCAGGATGAAGATGTCGATGTGGAAGACGAGCGCGCCATTGTCGACCTCTGCCATTTCGAGGTGTCAAGTAATACCGTTGCGATCTTCGCCAGAGGGAGAGGGTATCGGGTCGTATTTCTACCTGAGCCCGGACCAGAACGTCAGGGTGGCTGACAGCCGCAGGTTTGTTGTGTGAGTTGCGAGGATGGACGATGGCCGGCCTTATCTCAATCTTAAGATACTATGATGGTTTAGACATATCTTCAGCCGACCTCCGCGTCTGGTGGTGAATATCGTCGGACCGCGCATCCACTCAAAGCACATTAGTTGGCGGCAGACGCTCGCCTGTTCGTATATACTAACCGTCTGATACATGGTACGGTATCGACGAATTCTCAGCCAGTGCAGCACAGTGCACGCTATTCTCCTTGTGAGCACCATGAGTGGACTTTTAAGGGATTTGCAGAATTAGTTCTTCTCGAGTTCTTGCGCCACTGGCCCACCGCCCGGAAGCTTTAGAGCTGTGAGTGGCTGTGCGCCCCGCTTGCCTCGATCTCAGCAGTACCTAGAGTGACCTGCACTACCTTTCCCCCTCTTCAGTCGACTTTCTGAGTCTATTCATTAAGCATTCCTCTTGCTGATTATTGGCACCATATTTGAAGCAGCTGGCATGGCGGAAGTCGTCAATGTTTTGGTGGCCTTTGCGGTCATTGTCATACTTTTCCGCTGGGTAACCTCCAGTACGTCTCAGCGCGTTCTTATTCCATTCGCTCTGCTTACGATGTTAATCTAACGTACGTAGGCAAAGACTCCTCGTCAGAACACTCAGCTGCGAGCACTCTTGGTTTCCGCCCTCGCAATGTCACGGAGCAGATGGTGCGTACTGCATGATGCCCGGGCATGTCGGAGAGCTGACTCGCCAGCCTAGGTAGACACGGTGCAGGGAATGTTCCCGGACATACCAAGGTGTGTCATATCTTCCCCAGTCTTGACCGGTACTGAGCTGTCAGCAGGGATAATATCAAGTATGACTTGCTCCGAACGGGGAACGTCGATCAGACAGCGAATAAGATACTTGAGAGGGGTTTCTTAGATGCCGTATGTCGCAGGCTATCAATATCGTTCATTATCGTGTATCTCATATTAGTTTCAGCCTCCACAAGCCTACTACACCCTTTACTCCCGTACGGAGCAGCCTCCAGCCGCGCGTCCGGCACACAGCCCAGCCGGCAGCTCCACCGCTACGAAAGCCAAATCCGATAATCTCATCAAACGATTCCACCTCGAAGATAAAGTGCAGGACGCCCCGCCGATCTCGGAGGAGGAGGTTGCTGGGAAGGCTACGTGGGAGGAGACGCCCGAAAAGCGGGAGGCGAGTCTGCAGGAGCGAAAGGCTAAGATGATTTTGGCTGCACGACAGTGAGTACTGAGTCTTTGCCGCCCTGGGTGCTGTTCGATACGTATCGCTCATTGCACCCGCAGACGGATGTTGGCGCAGCAGCAGCAAGCCACGTCCGGCACCTCATCGCAGTCATGACACCCATGACTTCTGACATATTTTCCAAGATTTCTGCCCGGAAAATACCCCACGGCTGTATACCGACATCCAGTTTGTAAGGAGTGTCGCTTGTTTGGTAGACGCAGTGCTACGGGGAGCGTTGAGTTATTAATCCCACACGTGACACACCAGTGGAACGACCCATGTGGCTTGTCGTGCAATGGGACCGTCGTACCAGCTACCAATAAGCTGTTCTCAGGTCGTTCCTATGTGCTATGAAATTCGGAAAGCCACCTGTTAACGAAATACATTACGAACTACTGTCCCCGTATAAGTAGCTTGTGGTACTCATTGCGGTGATTCCTTCCTAGACTCTGAATCGTGCATCTGACATCGACAGAATCCCTTCCAACAGGGTCAGAAGAATCTGGGCATCAGCCATACCCACCGGGACTCAGGAGCTCGGAGACTGCATAGAATAAGTCATGTCATTAAACGTCGTGGGCCATAGTATAGTACAACAAGCAGATATCCTGTCCATGCAAATGATGTGATGATAGTAATGTGCGCCGACAAACCGATCCGATAAATGTGTATCACGTTTTGAAGATAATGATGAGGAGCAGTAACACCAGTATGAGTATCGCGATGATGACTGTCGAACCTGCAGCGAATTTAGCCCTTCAAACTCTCGGTGCGACGAGGTAACTCACTGTTCTCCTTCGCCCCCTTCGCCACTCTATCCAATCCGCGCCTCGCACCACTAAGCCTACTATCCGTCCTATCGAGGTCGGTGTCCAGCTCCTCAAGCAAGCCAGTATGCTGGTCCAGCTCGTCGTTGATCTGGAGAGAGATGTGGTGTTGCCGGTTTATTGAAGAAGACAAGACCTCCAATTGAGCGTCTTGGTCTTGTAATACACATTGCACGCGCCAGTATGTTAGTTGCGTCGTAGGCGCGGGAAGAGAACACCGTACCGTCGATCATCCGCCGCTGTGTCTGCAGAATGACTTCCGGCGGGTGTTCCTCAGGACCAGTTTCGGGGTCGTCTGTGTAAGGCGCGAACTGGGTGACTTTCATCCCCGTCTGAGGCGAGGGCGATCGCGGCGGCGCGATCGGGGCTGCTTTCTGCTCCCTCTCTACCTCATCCTGCAGACTATCATTCCGTTCAGTCCTTTCTCCCTAGCCGAACCTTTAGATCAGCACTCACCTTTGAACGCCCTGACCATCCTCCCCAAGCATCCCCCTCATCCGTTCATACTGGCTTTTCAACAACCTAACAGCCTCCGTCCTCCCCTCCTTCTCCTCCAGCTCTAGCACGCCCGACCGAAGTTGACCGAGGTTGCGCGTGATCTGGTGTAGTTTGCCATTATGGTTTGGGGCAGAGGAAGGCGAAGTGAAGAGTGTTTGTAAACGTTGTCGCTCGAGGAGGAGGGAGAGCGTCTGTGTGGAGAGGGATGTGAGTTTAGCAAGAGACATGGAAGAGACAGAGCGTCGATGAGCAGAGCGCAGAGGTGAGCCCGAAAGTAGACAAAGGTGGGGATATTATTATAAATGTAAAAAGTCTTGATTCACATCAGCACTGATGGGGTAGTGGTAACCTCAGTCGTTGCCAGTTCATTTGGTCCTAGTTCGACTGGCCGCGAGTTCGATTCTCGCTCAGTGCATTTGCCATGTGGTATGCAGGTTTTTTTTAACATCGCAAAATCAGGCAGCCTCTACTCTCAGGACGAGCCAGGCAGCGTCCTGAGTCCTGAGTCAGGCAGTGCTCGCGGCCCATCAGATGCTTTTGAGGAGACACATATCGGACGGACATGTCATTCCCAGAAAGACGTATGCCCGCTCCTTCGATATTGCGCGCCACCTACAAGACGATACAAGACAATTAACTCTTTACTCTCAATCGTCATCAATGATAATAACATCCTGATCCGCTGGTCTCCCCACTCTCGGCCGTTTCGCAGTTCCGCTCCTGCCCGCTCCATCGTCATCGCCCAGGACCACTGCGCCGTTGTCTGACCCCGGTCCTGCCTGTCGCTTCCGTTTCCCTGATACAGTCGACCCTTCCTCGTCCGAATCCTCGATGGCAATGGCAGCTGACGCAGAGCGACCAGCAGTGCCATCAAACGCGGGCGTAGCTGTCCTTGAAGCTGCGGCAGTGGGAGTGGCCATCCTTGAGCTGGAAGCCGTGGCCCTTGCTTTCCCGAGGACTCGTGCCGCGGAGCTCGCCCGTGAGGAGGTGGAGGTGGAGGGGATAGGGGTAGATGTTGATGCCCGTGCAGCTGAAGTTGAAGAAACCTTTGTTCTGGGGGATGGGGCAGATTGGGCCGGTGGACGGGCGTAAAGGCGCGTCCATTCGCGGGCTGTTTGGTTGTGCTTTTCACGGTTGCGAGTGTATTCTGACGCAATTGACGGTACTGGAAACATTATCAGTATGTGACAACACGAAGCCAGACCGCACTGCTCACCTAGTGGGTCCTCTGAAACAGGACCAACTCGTTAAGGAAGTAACACATGAAGACCATAGCGTGACGCACTGGGATTGGGATCCGTGAGCAAGGAGGATAGGGATAGTACGACCTTGAATATTGACAGAGCTGGCGACCAATTGTGCTTTAGGATGTCTATACAAACATTACCTCGGTCGGAGATGTTCATGTGGTATATTCTACCAACCCCGATACTAAGCGAGCATGTACCTGCAACGGTATAAGCACAAGCTTACCGCGTCAGAAACACAACCTTGGGTGCCATGAACCTGGCCACAATCCTCTCAGCCACAATGATCATTACACTCAATCGGGTACGCACGGGTAATCAGGCGCTAGATGGATCTCCGCAATGAACACGCCGCCATCGTACACGCTGCCTTCCGGCCCAGGTATCCCTGCCTTCCATACAAAAAGGTTATCGGTCGGTGCGAGGGTTATGCCACCCATATCTTCTTTCTTCAGGTCAGCGATCTCGCGGTGGATGCGCTTTATAGTCATCTGATAATCTCAAGTCAGTATATACGTCAGAAATTCCTCCTCAGGCATAGAACATACAGCAGATGACAAGCCGGGAGGCATAGCGAGCGATTTAACGAAAATAAGTCGGAATTTTCGAGGTAGAAGTTGAGGTGAGAGCGTAAGCGCGACCGCATTCCAAGGCGTGAAACTCTGCACGTGTACCGGGAATCACAACCGTGCTACTGTCACAAAATGCACGTGCATCGTGGGACCCGCGTGTAACTTTTTTGAAGTCCACATTAATGTTCGCCACATCTACTGCCAGTTGCTGCACTACAATCTCAGGGCCGAGCTCGCTTTACAAAACAACTGAGGCCATATACTGCTGCCATCTGAAATGGTACTGAACTTAAAGAGAAAGCTGACTCCAGCAAGTACTTATGCTCCTGCAAAGGTTAGCGCGTTTGGTATGTCGAGGAATGAGGAAGCGTCATCTGAAGAACTATCTACTATAGAGAAGACAAGTTGATGAACAAGACCAGGAACCTGATAGCGAGCGTGAATCTGGACTCGAAGAGGATGCTGAGAGTTTTGGCGGATTTCGCAGCGAGCACGACGAGAGCCCAGCAAGCGATGAAGACAACGGAGGAGGAGAAGAAGAAGACCAGGACGAGGATCAGGCAGAAGATAATGTCTCTGGTGCACTGGAGGATACTACAGCTGGGAGAAGAAGTGGAAAGCCTGTCAAAACCACTGGCTCAGAGCTCCGGAGTGCCCAGGAGGCACGCGATTTATTCATGTCGAGCAGCTTCAAACTTCAGGTATGTGGAATGGGCGTTCTTCGGCCGTATTCGCTTACTGAGATGCCTGTCCAGATTGACGCCCTCCTCCCAAATGTACGACCGAAAACATCACGTATCCCACCTCTCGACCGCTTCCTCTTCGCCCTTCACTCCATCTTGACCTCCCTCTCCTCCCATGAGACCCGGCACCCACTGGACGCTGCTAATGAGCTACGGAAGCAAGGCATTGCAGTCCCTTACCCTGACCCAGCTCCTGGGAAGGAAACAAATTGGAAGGTGGGCTTCGAGAAACCGTCCGACGTGAACGTAGTCGGGAGCTGGGCAAATAAATGCAGTGTCAAAGGCCAGGATGGCGCAAAGTTTGGTGTCGACTTGGCTGTTGAGATGCCTGCCGTACGTCGTCTTCCGTCCATTTCTCGTCGTATATCCTTATTGTCGGTGCAGAGCCTTTTCCAAGAGAAGGACTACATGAACAACAGGTTCTTCCACAAACGGGCTTACTACCTCGCTTGTATTGCATCAGCGATTCTAGACAAGAAGAGCGGATTGAATGCCACTGTCAGTTATCATTCTACCGCGGGCGACCCGCGACTAATCACGCTGATTGTGCTCCCCGTTCAAGGTCAGTAGTGAATTTCTCTTCTCTCTTCTTGTTACTCTAACTCGTAGTCCAGACAAATCCGAGACCGACTTCTCCCCCTTGAACGCCGAAATTCGCATTCTTGCCACGCTCCCCAGCCCGCCTCCATTCCCTTTACACCGGCTCTCCCCCATGCAATCTAACCTCCGTATATCCTCCTCCTCCTCTGTGCCAACTCCACTCTACAACAACGCCCTCCTCCTTGCCCTTACACCAAAATCTCACCTCCTCTCCGTATACAATCTCCAGTCCGAGGTGCCTGCGTTCGCAGGCGCCCTGGCGCTCCTTCGGATATGGGCGAATCAGCGAGGGTACGGCAATGGCAGCAGGCTGTGTGTCCATGGGTTTGAGGGGAAGGGTACGTGGTGGAAGGGCGTATTGGAGGTGCTGGTCAGGGGTGAGGAGGTGGAGAAGGTGCTCAGGAAGGGGAAGAGGAGGCCGCTTGGGAGGGGATTGAGCTCATATCAGATGTTTAGAGCTGCACTAGATTTCTTAGGTCAGTGCATCTTCCTGGCGAGGACGGTCTAGTGCCGATAACAATGGGCTTGGGTTAGCGAAATGTGACTTTGAGAACGAAGTTGTATTTGTGAAGAGTGGGGGAGGGCATCGGGTGAGTAGGATTTCCATGGAGCGCGAAGCATGAAGTTTATCTTAGCCTAGTATTCACCGGAAGAGTACAGGCAAGGGCATGAAGCTACCTTCGTAGACTCGTCCTCTCCCGTCAATCTTTTGGCAGGTGTCCCGTTATCTTCATTGGAGATGGTAATGCATTCCTCGTGTGGATCAGTTCATGATGACACTGATCTCTCCTAACATATAGCTGAAACACGACGCACAACTGACGCTTGGCGTCCTCAACGATTCCACCGCTACAAGCGACGCATTCAGCGAGACCTTCCTCAAAGATCAGCGGAGTGTCCCTAGTCGATTTGACGCGTTTGTTAGGTAGGAAATCCGCTTCTCAACTCCACTTTGCTGAATTCTCTCGCTATCTACCCTCAGTATCGACCTCTCTTCCGCGAAACTCCCGCAGCTCCCCCCTGACCAACCGTCAAAATTCACCGCCCTTCTCTCCTCCCTCTCCACGATCCTTCGTCGCGGATTAGGCAGCCGCACCAAAGCCTTCGGCCTCCTGCACCCCTCTTCTCCTGCATACCCTCTCACCTCCCCGCACCCTTCCTCACCCACTACAATCGCGATCGGCCTCATCTACAACACCGAGCACGCCTTCAGACTTGTGGAGCACGGGCCAGCAGTTGATGATCCGGATACGAGTTTCGCTGAGTTTTGGGGTGACAAGGCAGAGTTGAGAAGATTCAAGGATGGCAAGATTGGCCAGAGCGTCGTGTGGGATGTGCGGAATTCGGATGAAAGGGCGAGTATTCCGGTGAAGGTGGTGGAGTACCTGCTCGACCGACATTTCAGTATCCCTTCGAGGGCGGTGAAGACGTGGCAGGCGCCTTTTGATTCCCTGTTGAGGGTACCAGAGTCCATCTCTTCGTTGATCCAGCGGGAGGCAGGTGCGGCTGTTGGGTTCAAAGGCGCACTGACTGCATTTGACGACCTCGTAAGGACGCTGCGGGGCTCGGAGGACCTTCCTCTCTCGATCCTGAACGTCCACCCCGTCTCGGAATACCTGCGGTACACGAGTGTGTTCAATCCCCTCCCTGTTCCAGCCGAACTCGCGCCTGCCTTACCCAAGTCCGCTCGCTATGTCCAAGTGATCGAAGTCATCCTCGAGTTCGAGAAATCGGGTCGGTGGCCGGACGATATCCGTGCAATTCAGAAGATCAAGCTCGCCTTCTTCGAGCGGGTTGCTGCCGCTTTGATGCAGACTCAAAAGTTCCGGCGGGCGTCCGTTGTCTTGGGAGACGGAGTTACGAGGAATGAGATACAAGATCAGGCGATCTTGGAGATTGTGACGAATCAGGGATGGGTGTTCTCTGCGCGCATATGGCACGACCGTGAAGCCACCCTACTGGGCCGGATATTGAATGAGCGGTCGCATATCTCCAAGACTGTTCGGAAGACGGAGGAGGGACAGGCGAAGGAGCGGCAGCTTGCACTCGAAGCGCGTGAGGTGTATCTCAGGCGATTTGTCCATGGGCCCAAGCATCATCGGGCCGTTGCAAACATGGCACATCGATTTTCAGCCTATGCAGGCACTGTCAGGCTTGTGAAGCGGTGGCTGGCGACGCACTGGCTGTTGCATGGGCACATCAGCGAGGAGGTGGTCGAGATTATCTGTGCGAGCGTCTTTTTAGGTGGGACAC